CTTTTCGTTCTGCTCAGGAGCAGCCTTGTCTTGGTCTTTGGCGTCCTTCTGTTTGGCTTTCCGCTTATCCAACGACAGCCTGACGCCTTCTTTGTCAAGCCTGACAGCCTGCCGATCGAGCATTCTCTCGAATGCGGAAATCAAGTCGTAGACATTTGCAAACCCGGTCGACCCTCTGCCCCTGCCTACGCGCTTCGCGACAATGCGAGGCAAGGGCCCGTCCTCGCCACCTTCAAGCGTGAACGAGTTGTGGCGAACGAGCTGGAGGAGGATGAGGCACAGCTGCTCATCGTCATAGTCCTTAAGCTCGAGTCTGCGTGGAAAGTCCCATCTGCCGTTCGGCCGGCTCCCTAGGACTTTGTTCATACCCTTAGCACTCCCCGCAAAGACAACAACCAGGTTGAGGCGGTTGGCGTGATGCTCAAGGCAGTACAGAAGCTGGCCCAAGCAATACGAGGAGGCTGCTTCAATCTCGTCAACGAAGAGGAACTGCATATCATGGTTAATCATACTGAAATAAGAGGAGTCGTGAAGGGTTTGGGAAGACTTACCACCCCTGCTCCCCCGGCAATACTATTTGTCAGGTACGAGTCCAGGTTGTCAACATCTCTATCGCCTTGAAAGTCAAATCCCGACCGTTTTTCTTTATACGGCGCTCGTTTCCATAGCCCGCATTCAACGAGCAGAGTTCTGTAGATACCGGCCAGCGTCCGTTTGCCAGTGCCCACGTTGCCTGTCAAGACCAGGTTGAAGTCTTGCCTTCTCAGTCTACCCATCCTCCGATGGGCTGCGTCGATGGTTGCCTTGATAGCCAGAAATTCCTTTTTGATTTCCTCAAGCCCAATCATGGTCATCAGCTGATCAAGCGCCCTGCTCTTCTCGCCATATTCTTTCTTACGCCTCTCCCACTCGCATTCGACCGGCAAAAGGTTGGCGGAGCTAGCGGAGTCAAGGGGGAATCTGTGGCCTAAAGCGGGAAGAAGAGGCATCTTTGGCCGACTTGGAAGGGGTTTTGGATTGTTGGGTTTCTTAGCACCCGTATCCTCCGCATCGCTGTTCCCCGAGTCTGAATCTTCAGCGTCAAAGGGGCTGTACTTCTTCTCTTCCTTGACTTGCTCCGCTTTTTTGTCGGTCTCCTCTTCAGGCCTCTTGTTGATCTTGGGTTCCTCGTCTTTGTCCTTCTTAGAATCTTCCTCTGTCGATTGCGCTTCGGGCTTTGAATCTCGCCCTTCAGGTGTAGACCTGGAAGCGTCAGAGTCATCAAGCTGATGCTCATCACCGAAGAGTGCGGCTAACCCGTCGTACTTGGTATCGTCGTCCAGGATATCAGGTTGACTCCTTTCCCTAAAGAGTGCGGCTAACCCGTAGTATATGGAGTCATTATCGGCATCTGTATCAGCACTTTTAACAGGTGCCGAGCCGGATTCAGCCTTTGAATCTCCACGGGATGCCGCTCCAGGTTCAGAGACAGCCTGCTCGTCTGGACTCCCAGGATCGGTAGTTGAAGTCGCCTCAGGCTGGGCCGCCGTGTCACCATTCTCAAGCGACATTTTGGACTCGAAGGCAGATTCACCATCTGTCTTGACAGTTTCGACGGGCGCCGAGGTTGACTGTAAGTGAGCATCCGATTTCAGAGACTCAACAGTAGCCGGTGGCGAGAGCGAATGAGAAGCGTTATCGGCAGGGTCAACAGACGCAGCTGTCGATTTCGACATGGCTGAGCCTTCAGCTTTTGTTTGGTTGCCGGTTGTAACGCCATGACCCGATGGTTTGGGAACGGGGACTCCAGACTCTGTTGCCGGGGACTGAGTGTCCAATGTTCCTTCCGCGGGAAGGTTGGCAGGAATGATGGGGGTTGCGCTGTCCGGTGACGGCGTGACTTCCAACACCGCCGATATTTTTGCTGCTATTTTCTTTTCGATGGCCTCATCGGCCATGGGAATGGTGCAGCCATTTTCCTCAGTGACGACTGCCACCTCAAGCACTTCACTTTCTGGCGGTGTGGTGATGGGAGATTCTGCGTCGCTGTTTTCAACCGTCTCAACACCATCAACTTCGAATTCAGGGGAGTCGTATTTATCTTCTTCCAGTCCTGTTGCCATGACTGCAATGAAACGTGAATGAGGAAAGCAGAGAAATCAAACGCGTCGGTCGACAGGACTCAGAAGAGGATTGGGGAATGAATTCAATGAAAGCAAATCAAAGACTGAAATGGGCGTCTAAGATGGTAAGATGTGTGAGTTTTGAATCTCACATTCTCTAGCTTATGCTGAGCTATATGGGATGATAGGAACATTATAACTCAAGCCTCAATTGAGGATGTTGCCAACAGCTGGAAGTGCGGAGTCTAGGCTCTAGGCAGCATCAGGCTGTGCAGGCTGAAGAATCACTTGGATCGGAGGCCACCTACAGGGAACATTACTGCCTGATGTATTGTACATGACTAAGTCGCCTTGGATGCACAACATCCCTGCGCCTTCTCTTTGCACATCCAATAGAACGCTGCTGCTATGTTGGCAGGAAGCTCAACTGGGAGGAGGCCTACGAAGTATGTACACCCCCGCGTCCCCGCATCCCTTCCCCCACCGCCTCCTTCCTTCTGAGAATCTTGTTGACCAATGCTGTTGCGTCCATGAGCTGATCTGAGCCACTTGATGCACGATGCCGTGTCAAAGACATATCGCTTGGCAGTGCTGCCTTCAAAGCAGCTGTGATGCTTGCTTTCGAGGGTCAGCCCTCTCGTAAATTTGACAGTCTTGACTTACCTGGCCTAACGGAAGGTGGCATGAGACTGAATCTAGACAGTGAGGTGAACACTAGACTCCTGAACTCGAAGAACAGTCAGATCTTCATCATTTGATGTTAACACCAGTGCCATCAGCAAGCAATCACATAGTCGTTCCATCCGCCTCCCCGGTAGTGTTATCAGCACT